GGGGGGCCTCTGCCAGGCTTCCTTTCAGCCCAGAGGTTCCTAGCCCAAAAGTGGGGGTCCACTGACTCCCTAGGGCATCCAGGACCCTGGATGGAGAAAACCCTGTATCTTTGTTTTCACTAACCTATAAGCGACCTTTAGCACTCCCTTTAATGATGAAAATAGAAACAAGAGGTGCCTGGATGGAGCAGTCGTTTGAGCCTCGACTCTTGGTTTCAGCTCAGGTCACGATCTCATGGTTCATGAGTTCGAGCCTCACACGGGGCTCTGCGCTGATGGCACGGAGCCTTCTTGGGATTCCGTCTCTCCTTCTCTCCGTCCCTCCCCCACTTGTTCTCTCCCTCTCTCTCTCTCTCAAAAATGAATAAATAAACTTAAAAAAAAAAGATTTTTAAAAGAAACAAACAACCGTGGTATCAGTCGTAGCTAGGGCTTTAACCCCAAAAGAAACCTCAGACATTTGCATACCACATTTCAGGTGTCATAGGGATCTCAATCTATCACTTGCAGTCATCGCTACTTTAAAATGACAGCGTATGTCAACCCCATGCCAAATCTTACTGTGTACAGCATTAAGAACTACATAATTCTTCTTTAACACCCTTTTAAAATGCCTGGTGACTGCATTTCAACATAACAAGTTGACTGTATCTTATTTTTTTGCAATTAAAAATGTTATTCTAGGAAGGGGATCCCTGGGCTTCACCAGACTGTCAGAGGGGTCCTTGGCACAAAAACGAAAAAGAAAAAAAAAAAAGATGAAAAAACCCTCCTTAATCCCTGCTCACGAACTAACACCTTTTAGCCCAGCTCCCTCCATGGGCTTCTGCCATAAGGCTAACATTCTGCTAGTTCTCGGAGCAGGGGTCCTGAGCCACACATCCACTTGGATGAGGTAGGAACAGGGAGGATCTGTGTCACACGTTCAGCTGAGGGTCCGTTTTCCAGCTGCGGATGGTCCAGGCCGCTGTTCAACTGGCCCCGTATATCTATCTACCAGGATCTCCTTTGCAGTAGAAACACAGGAAATATACATTCCCTTGCCCTAACCTCTCCCTCCCTGCTGATGTGACCCAGAGCGTGGACCTCCGTTTCCCTATTTTCCAAAGCAATTTCAATGAGAAACCAAACTCTAGAAGCAGTGAAGAGGTGGGGAAGAGAGGGAGGGGCAGGCTGCCAGCATCCACGGAAGCAGATGTAAGTTTTTATACTTTCTGTGGATGTATGATTATCCAGGGATCCAGACCCTTATTTCCCCTCGACTAAGGAGATAAGGGGGATCTGGCTGGAAATCACCCACCTCCCACCGAATCCCCTGGGTGGCGTGAAGGATGTAGATAGAATGCCTCCAACATTCTGGACCTCTCACCCAGCTTATGATTTCATCAGCGGAGCAAAGCTAAAAGGAAGGAGGGAAGGAGGGCTCTGGTCCAGGGAGCAACCAAGATGAGGTACATACATAAATAAAGGCCAGCACTGCCCTTCCCCCAGTCTCCAGTCCCCGGGCCACGGTGCCCATCCTGGCTGCTCCTATTTCTAAAAGGTTCTCCGGTGATTTGGTTGCAGAGCAGAGTGAAGCATCCACCCGAAGCAATGTCCGCACAGCCGGTACCTGGAATCCGTGGTGCCTGGGCGAGCCTCGCTCTGCACCTTTGTGTGCCTGGCAGCGGGCAAGGGACTGTTTGCAAATTCTGCTGGGTCACGGCTTCAGCTCCCATTTCTAGGGTTCTTCTCCCAAGATTTAAATTCTCCAGGAAAATATCTGTGGACTTCAAAGCAAAGCCATTCTGGAAGGGAAGCCAGGGGGAGCAGGGCAGCCCCATCTGTTCTTTTTCCTATTAATTTCTCCCCAGTTGCCTTCACTGAGGCTCTTATTATGACGATGGTGATTATTAGGATTTTTCTGTGCATGGCTGCATCCCGTGGTGTGATTCCTCCCAGCATGCTAAGCTCCAGCCTCCCTGAGGACCAGAGGGTGTCCTCGGTGTGATTCTGACACCTCCTAATTTAGTCTCATCCGTAAATCTAATTAGCGTGCTATTTACACCAGGCCCAGGAGCCCTGGTGGGGTGTGAAGCAGGCAGCCTCTTTCCTCACCTCTCCCCTCCCCAGTGCCTGCTCCCCGGCCGGCCAAGTCCCCTCCAACGGCTAGAGGTAGACTTTCATCTTGGATGTGGGGGACTGTACCCCTTTCACCCACTGCCCTGGCAGCTGTCCCCTCCTCCACGCCCCCCCCCCTCACCCCTGCTCACTACGGGACCTTGCGGGAGTCATTTTGTCTTTGGAGTCACGCTCCCTAAATGCAGAGTCTGGTCTTCCTCAACATCCCCATGGGGATCGGAAGCAGAGCTAGCGCGCTTCATCCTGCGTTCTCTTCCTCTCCATTACCTCCTGGCCGCTTCATGCCCACTCCAGCGCCCTTTTACCGTGGGCACCTGTTTTCTTGCTCCCACACTGCCCCACCTGCCCCATCTGCCACCCCCGCCACACCCCTGACAGCCGTAGATGGTTTGTCTTGTTTATTTATCCCCCTTTCTCAAAGAGTAGGGGTAAGCACAACCCAGCAGGGAGGGGTCCCTGCGTGTCTCACCCCGTCACTGTGCTGATGGATTGGAGACTGGGCAACAGTGGTGAGGGTGGGCCACCAAGCCGGGCATGGAGCTGGCAGCCAGCTCTGCTTTGCTCCTGCTGAGTCTGTCCCCCGAAAGGGGGAAGTGGTGCAGGGGTGGCCGGGGGTGGGCAGGAGGAATTTCGTGGCTCTGTTGTCACTCTACCCAGGAAGGCGCAGGGTAGACGCTCACTCCCTTCTCGCCCTCCAAGGAATTGGGCGTGGGAAGAAATTCCCAACATCAAGGTTGTCATACGTTTCTATCCCAGGTTCAAAGGTGCAGCTGTTTCTCTGCTTGGTCCTGACATGTGCCCCGAGCCCAAGGGCAGGTATCTCTGCTTCTCACACATGGGCAAAACTGGCCTCGGAGGAGACCTTCCGCTAAGTCCGCGCAAAAAGATACACTGCGGCAGCCGCTGGAGGGCAGGGTGGCCAGCACCCAGAGGCCTGGGGCACGAAGAGTAAGAGATGCCCTAGAAGGACCCTTGCAATGAG